ACACACACACACACACACACACACACACAAACACACACACACACACACACACACACACACACCAGAGAGAAACGACAGTACGATCTGCCTGATCTGAATGAAGCAGACAGGAAGGAAAAACAGAAACAGAAATGAAGCCTGGAAGCAAAATGCTTATCCAAGCTCATTCATAGACTTTAGCTTCTGCACGCCGACACACACAAACACACTTGGACTGGCAAATGTATAAACACAAATTTACACACATCACTGGAGTGAAGAATTAATCAGCAGGCAGTTACTTAAAAAGATGCTCACACAGAGATATTGCACAAACCGCTGTTACTCGCTCATTACTGACTTGTGGGAGAATGCCTCGAAAGTTTAAGACAACCCCCTTTTCTGCTGYCTTTGCCTTAAATGTCGGTAACAGTCACGAAGACTGGCTTTGATTTGTGTGAACAGATTAAAAAGTAAAGATATGAGTAACACTCTGACGCCACAGCTTACATTAGAACAAATGCTTGTGTAAAAACAGTTCTGCAGTGCTGTCACACCCATTTAGTATACATATTTGACAGACTGGTAGCAGTGTAATAATTACAGTATAAGGCTATTTTGTCCATATGGTGCAAATGTGTTACAGCAGCCATTATGTCCTAAAAAAGACGAACAATTTAATAATAAGATAGATTCTTCTTTGAAAAAGTGTAGGGTGATACAAGAAGGTTCTACATTTTTAATTTTGTTACTAATTTATGCCATTTAAAAATAGTTTATACATTTGAACCACAAATATCAATTTTGGCCCAAGTTTAAACTGCACAACATAAAAAACTTGATGATTTTTTACTAATAAGTGTTGCAAAATTATCTTTCCTGTATTTCTTAAAAGTTTAATGACCAGCAAAACAATGCAATACTGATATGGCAGACATTGATACAACATTAAACTCTTAAAATAATCTGTAACCATAACAATGGCATTCTTAAGTCTATTTTGTATTAGAGCTTCTTGTGAGCTCAGAAATGTCCTATGAATTGAAGAGAAAACAATTTTTCCATTACACAACACAGAAGCCGTGTTTCCATCCAATTCTAATACGAATTTTGAGTGATTTTTTTAAATTTCACAAAAAGGAAAGAACTAATAAATAAATGTGAATCAGACGTGTTCCCATCAACTGGCTTGCTGAAGCAAATCAGTTACGTCAGACGCATGCGTGTAGTAAACAGGAAATAAAAGTCGCATCTCAAGAAAATGGAGAGAAGTTATCAGGAACGTGTTGCTACTATCGAGAAAGTTGTAATTATTCTGTCATAACTAGTTCTGGCAATTTTACGTGCTGTCTGGARAYGTAGAGAAAGAAATGCAATTCTTTTCACGTTACGAAAACCCCAAAAACCACCTCAAGCAAGCGTATCAACTTTTATGCGAATTAGAGGAAGTTTTTTCGAACCAAGCCGTTTCCATCCACTTTTTCTGATGCAATACTTGAAAATGTGCATTAAAAAACCTTGATGGAAACACAGCTAGTCAAAGCTTTCTGATAACCCTTGTCACCAAGTGGGGGTCTTTAAGTATCTGGGTGTCAGTTTAACGAGTTATGGTATGATGGGAGCGGGAGATGGATCAGCAGATCCTCAGTATTGAGGGCGTTGCTTCGGTCAGTCATGATGAAGAGAGAGCTGAGTAAAAAGACAAAGCTTTGGATTTACTTGTCTGTCTTCGTTCCAACCCTCACCGATGGTCATGAGGCGTGGATCACGACCGACCGAACGAGATCCTGGATGCAATGAGCTTCCTTCGTAGGGTGGCCGGGCTCAGCCTTAGAGATAGGCTTCGTCACCTGGGGGGAAGTTCCAAATACAGCTGCTGCTCCTCTGCRTTCTTGCCGCCTCCTTGAGGTGTTCTGGGCTCGTCCCACTGGTAGGAGGCCCCAAGGGAAACCCAGGACTGGCTGGAGGGTTTATGTATCCTCTCTGGCCTGGGAACGTCTCAGTGTCCCCCAGGACGAGCTGGAAAGTGCCACTGGGGAGAGGGATGTCTGGGTTTCTCTACTAGACCTGTTGCCTCCACAAGCTGACTACGGATAAGTGGTAGAAGCTAGAGATGGAAACTTATCACCATAAAAATTATTTATAGTAGCAATCCAAGCATGGAACGGCTGTGTCATACAGCAGCCATCGATGGCAAGGCCAGAGCAGCAGATGCTTGAACTTCCTTTGGTTTCTTTAGTCATTAAAGGAAGAAGTCACTCTTATCCACTATGACTTCAAATAACATCCAATGTGTTCAAATATTTGCTATTTTATATTTTATTTTCTCTTTAGGAATTAATTAAAGCTAATGTCATTTAGTTCATACAATGACAGCTTAGCTTTAAGACACAAATTGAAATGTTTGAGCATCACTTTCACCCATTTGTTTGAGTTACAAAGTACAAACATCTGAACAAAGACATTTTAATTATTTGCTAAATAAATGGATCTGTTTGATTCCTCTGAAAGGCTGATGGGAAGCCAAAACTAACTAACCTAAAGCTGCAGGGTGTGACTTCATTGTGACTGCTTTAAATGCTAAACAAATTGCTGACACACAATACAAACAGGTTTTTTTGTTACAGAATGTTATTATGGAAAAACACCAATGCTCCTTCAGACATAACATCAGCATGTGAAAACATTTGAAACTTAGGGTTTAATGCAGTTTAATCATGTAAAATCATCATACTCTTTCATTTAAAAACACACAGAAAATAGGAAAAACTTAGCAGAAAAAAATGTCATTTATTGGAGCTGTTTTAAGCTAAAGCCATTTCCTGGTTTAAACTAGCGTAYGACTTCCTCATTCTGTTAATGATTAAATAGACGTAAACAACAAACCAGGTACAAACTCTGAACGGAACCAAACCATGTCAATGAGATGCTTTAAATGACTTCCTGCAATAACAAGCTGCTGATATTCCCAGCACACCCAAATAAAACCTTGTTTACAACTGCTTGCTGGCAAAAACAACGCAGCTTTCATACTGCACAGAATGGAAATAAATCTTATACCATCAGAAAGTCTGTTAATTTCCATTTTAAAAGGTGCCACATTTGTAAGGAACGTGCATTTGTGGAATGAGCAGTGGAGTTGAGTATGTGGGTTGTGCACATAAAATATTTGCCAAATCTTCTGTTGAACAGCTTATTTTGCTGTTTCTATTGACACTTGTTTTGAGCTTCTGTTACCTCCAAGTGCTACCATACCAGTGTCCAATTTAAGATTTATTGCCAAGAAGCATTGTTACAACAAAGGAACAAGCTAACAAACACAAATTTACTTACTTTTTGTGCTACGGTTATAATATTAACTAAAAATTAATAAAGTGTTTATTAAAATTCCTTTTATTTAATTTGAAGGTTTCATGATACAAGATGCAACCTACATCTACAGAAATCTATAAAAGTACATTTTGTTCAATACAGATTTTAAAAAAACTAACATAATATGTGCTGACCATCAAAAAATGCATAAATTGTAAATAAGCAAAATATAATCCTTTGTCAGATGCGGATGAATTCAAACACTGGATGTTCAATGGATGGTTCAACTTGCTTCTTCGAGCCATCAACAGCCAAAACAAACTTGTAAAAGAACTCAGCAAATCCATTTTAGCTGTGATTAGGCAGGCAGCATTGAAACAATAACAGCAGCTCGTCCTGACAAGCGTGCCTCGGCCACACCCTCTCCACTGGATACGGACTGTAGCAGAAACTAAAAACACGAAGAAGAAAAAAACACGCCTCTACTGTGGCGTACAGCTGGTATCATTACTGGTGATAACGGCAACCTTACACCTCTCTCTCTCTCTGGCCCTCTCCGACCTTATCTACTGGACACATCAAACAGGCCTATGGGCCACCCACTTACTGTCAGCCAGCAACACTAACCGGATACCTATTGTGAAACATAACAACATAACAAACTGGGTTACACAACAGCCAAGCGGGGCCAGGTGATCTTCAAGATGCACCAAAGCGGACACAAACAAGACCTTTCCACACGGATGGATGTACTTTTTTGTTGTGCGGGTCGTTGGAGGTGAGCCCTGCCAGTGAACGTGTTTGTGTCTCCTGCTGGAGGCTTTATTGACACAAAGAAACGTTGGAGGGAGCGGAGGGCGCTGCTGGGTGCTTGCTTTGCAAAATGGAGTCTTGTTTTCAACTGAAGGGAGCCGAAGAGGCGGGGGGTAGGAGGCAGTAGGGGGAAGGGGTCATCGGGGTGGACGTAAAAGAGAGGAGGAGAGGAAAAGGTGGGGAGAGGGCAGCTC